AGAAAACTGCCTTGAGGATAAGGTACAATTTTAAGGAATCATACCATTTTAAAGAATAGCAGATGAAGGACTGAAAATAATACCCCTGCATTTGGGCTTATTCAAACATACTCTTCCTTTTTTCGCAAAAACAAAAAAAACAGCTTTGGATAGATTTACATAAGTAAATATGAGGTAACAGTTCAGATTTGAATGGAACCGTGGACGAGTTGAGTGATTCAAGTGTCAAAATTTACTTTAGTGACAATGGCATAATTGACTTTTCTGGTTACCTTAAATACTCAAATTTCTGAATGACGTGCAATGTGACATATGCTTCATTTTGTACCAGGATTATGATTTTTTATAATGTATTATTCAGTGCGTGAAATATTTAATTCATGAACTGACTTCCCTGATGTTTTCCAACTGTAAAACCCACTCTTCTGCTTGAAATATACATTAATGTGCCAGAAGGAAGAAAATGTCGGGGAATTCCACCGCAATGGAACATGTGTTAGTTATAAATCAAGAGATTTATAAACTGACAGGAAGATATGATTAAATTGTGACCACTTAAGGAAATTGCGGTGACACTTTGTCCGCAGGATGCTCAACCACATCCATCACGCTATTGCCAACATTTAGGAGATTAATTTTTGCAGGATTAATCAGGAAGCTTGAGAAGGCGATGTGAAACCTCAAAATTGTAAAAATAAAAACAGCCAGTGCAACACATTTTGTAAATAAATAATTTATAAAATTGAAATGAAATTATGTGCACTGATTTATTATAAAAGTATTCAAATAGGAATTTATTTATTATGTACTCTTATTTATTTCATCGCAACTGAGGGATTTTTCCAAACCCGATGGTTGCGAATGAACAATAATACATCGAGTATCACATGTGACCGATGAAAGAGCTACGGTAAAAAAGTGGGAAAAAACAAGAGATACGCGATAACACACGTCGTGAATCCTTATAAGCTTCCATAAATTATATTATAGAGATATATCTACCGCACTACCAGAGAAGCAATGCATTTGCCTCTGGTATCCCGATGTACATGCGTTGCGAATTAATAAGTATTGATCCCGGGCGTTTCAACTCCAGAGATTTTCGTTTTTCGAAGTATTTCGTTCAACTTTTAAAGTATTAAAGTATTTTCAAGTATTTCGTTCGAATGGCAATGTTCGTAATTATGAATTAGTATTAACTTTTATTACAAAAATAATTGAATACATCAAAAAAATGTCAAAATTTTTTGCGTAGGGAACTCAATTTCCATAATTCATCACTGTACATCAGAGCCAGTGCCGTCGGCGACGTTTTTCCTTCGTGTAGTATGTATATAGAATATCATTGGAATTTAGTTGAAAGTCTTGTTCTCTTGTTTTTGTGGTCTCGCACGTGTCGTTTTCATGCACTCTGCGTTGCTTAATCGCAAGATCTTATTACCACTTTACCACCGAGTTACTCGTTACGTCGTAGGTAGCTAGCCAGTGTGGTCGATCCTGTCTGCTCAGAACCAGAGCTTTTACGATTCGCCGTTTGGAAATAAATACTTAGAGTGTAAAACGCTTGCACCTGTCTTAAAGGAGAGTGCACGTTACAAGGACAACAGACTGTTCAAGCGCGGTGTCGAATTTCTACCTGGTTCGCGCAGCACCAGGGGACTAAATTGTGCTTTCCGAAGATTCTACTACATGGATGATTAGCCCCGTAAGTGTAGTGCTCGGACGGCGGAGATTTTTCTTCCCCGCTGGAACCTGAGACCCGACACAAACTTTCATGTCGTATAACTTTCCCACTTCAGTTCTCTCTCCTTGCGGGGTATCGCCCAGCCGCGGCAAGCCCTAAGCACCGGTCTGACCTACTGACAAAACTAGTGGCGGAATAACCTTCACGTATTAGTCTCAAAGCCAACTCAGTAGGGATTGTACGGAGGCAGGATCGCGCCAGAGAGCCGTTGGAACGCCTCTGCTTTTCGAGAGACTGTGGTGTCACTTTCGGGTACTCTATTGCTTGCCACAATACAATCAAATGTTCCAGAACAACAACAACAACAACAAAAATACGATTGCACCCTGACAATTGAAGAGCATACTTTTGCGCCCGAAAGTATTATTCATCCTACATACGAGCATTGAAGACCACCGGTGCGTATCTTCTTAATAAATTAACGCATGTTGAATAATACATAAACGTGTTAAGAACGTGAAAGGGTGGACGTAAAGATGCACGAAACGTTGCCACGATCATGGGATAAAAGCAGTCTAACACATAGTAGGCTTTGGATTTCTATTTCATTCAATAACTTGGTCCCCCATGGGCCATTCTTGCAATTTGATTTGTAAAATCCGGGACCTTCAAGGAAAACATTCCACAATTACTACTACTACTATTACTACTACTGCTACTACATTAATAATAATAATGATAATAATAATAATAGTAATAATAACAAAGTAATAATAATGAAAACAATAATAAGACACTTTGGCAAACTTCCGAGCTTTGGCCATTAGTCCGCAGCGCAGAGCGGTGCGAGGAGCCAAAGGAATGTAGTGTAGTCGTGGAATGCAGTGCGCAGGGTGT